TGCTAAGGGGACAGGACAACTTCACCGCATCAAAGGGACGATGGACGGGGCCATGTACCGTCAAATCTTGGGTGAGAACCTCCTTCCCTCAGCCAGGGCATTGAAAATGGGTCGTGGATGGGTATTCCAGCATGACAATGACCCAAAACACACGGCCAAGGCAACAAAGGAGTGGCTCAAGAAGAAGCACATTAAGGTCCTGGAGTGGCCTAGCCAGTCTCCAGACCTTAATCCCATAGAAAATCTGTGGGGGGAGCTGAAGGTTCGAGTTGCCAAACGTCAGCCTCGAAACCTTAATGACTTGGAGAAGATCTGCAAAGAGGAGTGGGACAAAATCCCTCCTGAGATGTGTGCAAACCTGGTGGCCAACTACAAGAAACGTCTGACCTCTGTGATTGCCAACGAGGATTTTGCCACCAAGTACTAAGTAATGTTTTGCAGAGGGGTCAAATACTTATTTCCCTCATTAAAATGCAAATCAATTTATAAAATCTTTGACATGCATTTTTCTGGATTTTTTTGTTTTTATTCTGTCTCTCACTGTTCAAATAAACCTACCATTAAAAGTATAGACTGATCATGTCTTTGTCAGTGAGCAAACGTACAAAATCAGCAGGGGATCAAATACTTTTTTCCCCTCACTATATTTGCATACTTCAGCAATGTCATTGTATTTCCATGCCACTCTAAGTTAGTGTAATTTAGACGTAACAGTCACATTAGCCTCCGAGATGCAACCCATGTCTAGGGAACAAATAAATATTGGACGCAGCTATGGTGGTATTAGCTAACTCATGTCTGACTACAACAATGTACTAACTAACAGCAACAAACTCAGGGCCATAGTAAAACATGCCACAGTTGGTTGCAGTGTAACTGTGTCTCCAAACGAGATTACGTTATTTCTCGAGCCATGTTTATAGTTGAGCGATGATGACAATCGTTGACCCCGTTTTTCTGTTAAAGTGCACCGTTGGGTGCCAGACTGATCCCCAGGTCATGAACTGCGCAATGTGATTGCAAAGGTTTAGCGACCTCAAAAATATTTAATTCACTGTTCGCTTGCTATTTTCACAGCTTGTCAGGCAAGACCTCAGAATAAAAGTGTGTCATGCGACACAAGAATCCTACAAGATGGCGCCGACAGACGCGATCGCCCTGTTTCTAGCTCCTAGCCAACTTCGCAGTATTATTTTTTTGGGTGTTATTTCTTACATTATTTGCTCAGAACATTACTTGTATTATTACCTACAGCTATAAATAACTTTCAATAGAGGTGGAAGGAGTGGGGCCCTAGTCAGACTCAGGTGGCATGCATACCATCCACTGCTTCCCAGTATATTACTTGCTAACGTTCAGTCCCTAGACAATAAAAGTGAGGATCTCCTTCCAGAGAGACATCAAGGACTGTAACATACTCTGTTTTACGGAATCATGGCTCTCTCCGGATATACTGTCCCTGTCCATCGCGCGGACAGAAAAAAGAAATAAAGAAAATAAAAACGCTCAGAGAAAAAGAAAGACACAGGGGTTTGTTTTATGATTAACAACTCCTGGTGTGATTGTGGTAACGAACAAGAACTCAAGTCCTTTTGTTCTCCCAATCTGGAATACCTCACCATCAAATGCAGATCGCATTACCTCCCGAGATAGTTTTCTTTGGTCATCGTCACTGCCATGTATATTCCCCCCAAGCAGACACCGCGACGGCTCTCAAGGAACTACACTGGACAATGTGCAAACTGGAAACCGTATATTCTGAGACCACATTTATTGTAGCTGGGGACTTTAATAAAGGAAATCTGAGGAAAACGTTACTGAAATTCTATCAACACCTCTCCTGTGCTACATGCGCAACACAGACCCTGGATCATTGCTATACTCCCTTCCGGGACAGCTACAAGGCCCTCCCCCGCCCTCCCTTCGGCAAATCAAATCGCGCCTCCCCACCTATAGGCAGAAACTTAAACAGGAAGCTCCCATGGCAAGGAATGTTCAACGTTGGTATGATCAATCGGAATCTATGCTTCAAGATTGTTTTGATCACGCGGACTGGGAAATGTTCCGGGTCGCCTCTGAGGATAGTTTCGACGTATACACTGACTCGGTGACTGGGTTCATCAGGAAGTGCATAGAGGATGTTGTTCCAACTGTGATGATTAGAACTTATCCAAACCAAAAACAGTGGGTAGATGGCAGCATTCGTGCAAAACTGAAAGCGCGAACCACCACATTTAACCATGGCAAGGTGACTGGGAACATGGACATGTACAAACAGACCAGCTACGACCTCCGTAAGGCAAGCCTCCGTAAGGCAAGCAATAAGACTGATGAACAATTAATCAAATGACCACCCGGACTATTTACATTGACCCCCCCCCCCCTTTGTTTTTACACTGCTGCTACTCGCTGTTTATTATCTATGCATAGCCACTTTACCCCTACCTACATGTACAAATAACCTTGACTAACCTGTACCCCCGCACATTGACTTGGTACCGGTACCCCCTGTATATAGCCTTGTTATTGTAATTATACTGTGTTACTTTTTATTTTTTACTTGAGTTTATTTAGTAAATATTTTCTTAACTCTATTTCTTGAACTGCATTGTTGGTTAAGGGCAACCTCTTAAATGTAGATTTCTGCCTAAATAGACATATCCAAAAGTAACTGCTATTCAAGTGTAATTACATGATTCTGACATGCAAAAACGTGGTATATTTGGAAAGAAGATATCTGGGAGATTATGAGGAAATGATCAGAAGATAGATAGGACTTACATAGTTCAGAATACACAAGAACAAGCACACACAAAATAACCATTTTTTATTTTGAAAGTCATCTTTCATTGACGTATGGATGGTGCCATATCCCCGGCACCACCCATATGTAAAAATGTATGCACACTTGACTGTAAGTCGCTTTGGATAAAAGCGTCTGCTAAATGGCATATTATTATTATTATTATTAATTATTGATGACTAGAGCTGGAAACACATCAGATGGCTTCCACAACATGTGAACAATATCAGAAAAAAAAACCTAACAACTAGAAATGGGCAGAAGTTTTAGTAAGTGGTGTCAGGTGTGCTCACGGGACGTTTCCAAGTGTCCCTAAACTTCTCCAAAGTGACATATGTCTGCAAATTAGATAATTCCAGTGCTATTACATATTTGCAATCCCTAAATGCTATTTGTCCAGTATAAAAAACAATTTCTACCATATCAACCTCACTCAAACATTGTGGTGGTGTTATGGGGTATCCAGGGTACATCCAAGTGTCCTTTCAGTGTAGAATGTGGTAATTGCACTGTTTTTGCACACTGGATGTGCCTAAAAGTTATTGTTTCACAATAAAAACGAAATTTCTACAACACCAACCTCTCTCAAACATTGTGGTGGTAATAAAAACGAAATTTCTACAACACCAACCTCTCTCAAACATTGTGGTGGTGTCGGGGGACATAAAGGGGATGTGGATACCTAGAGCGCTTAAGCAGGCAACATTATATTTTTGATGCTCAGATATAGTCACTCGGTGGAGATTCGATGTTGCCATTAAGTCATACATCATCAGATAACATTGGCAATATGCTAGATATGTTCATATCAACCTAAGGATTAATTTGATACCCCCTATGTAGCTATAGCTCAAACACAGACCAAAATATAAGCTTACCTTGTAAGATGTTTACTGTTTGGTGAAAACGTTGTGTAAAATAAACATTTTGACTCTCGAGGCTGGTGATCAATAACGGTAGGTCATAGGCAGACAAATAAGATATCCTCATGATCTGTGGAGTCCCGGCTTTCGGTGTGTAACAATGTATTCCGTGTTTATTTCGTTTATGCTTCACAAGGCTAACCGGAATGTAGGTAGCAGCCATCTTGAAATGAGGTCATCGGCTCAGCCTGCTCTTATAAATGTGTATGCCCATATATGGTAGTAAGTCATACCAAAGATTGGAAGGCACCGATCAATAGCCAATACACTGCTTTCCGCAGACACCCTGCTTTTGCAGATAGAGGCTACCGTTCTCACACTAGACTGAATTGAATAAAACAAATCAAATAGGGTCCCCAAATATCACTTTACATTTAAGAGGGGCTTGTAAGTAAGCATTTCAAGGTAAGGTACCTGTTGTATTCGGCGCATGTGATTTGAATTCATTTGAGCTTGACAACCCACCTTGCCGCTTTGTGGACAACGACTCCCATTGTTAGGGCGAAGAGACATGTAGCCTATGTATGTTGTCAGTATATCCATAATCTTTGGAATAGTGCATTGTTGGTAGTTTAGAAGCTATCTCTGTGCTATGCTTTACACGACTGTATGGAAGCGTTCACATATCACTGCAGTTTCAAAGTGTACCTACTTTTTCCTTTGTAGCCTACTGAATACAATTATTCAAATATGTCAATTACAGAGTTTAAGAACACATCAAATCCAAAATTACATTAGGATACAAACTGAGGATAAAAAAAAAAAAAATGTTTTTTTTTTTTTTGCTGAAGGAGGCATTTTGCTGAAGAAGACCCTGAAGAAGGCATTGTGATGCCAAAACGTTGGTGCTTTACGCAGTACTTGACATGGAATGAAATAGGTGCCAGTACTCATTTTGGGTGCAGGAGTTCCACAATACTTTTGAGCTAATATTTTATAAGGGTAACAGGAGTTCAAGCAGTAGAACATTTGAGGTGCCAGTGCTCAGCTCCGGTGTTTTTCGCTTGTGCCTTTATCGGAATTATATGCAGTGGACGTTTCAAAGGTAGAGCTGATTTGCACACACACAGTCAAACAACAGTCAAGGATGATGACTCTTGGTGACTCAGTCATAGGCCAAGTGATAGGCCTAATTAGCCCTTACCAATAGACGCTTTCCAAATTGGCTTGAAACATCGTCCGCACGGTTGACGTTGCTTGATTGAAGTCCCCTGATTGCAGCTGTGGGAGAACCAGCTAATTGGCGCTCACGTGTTTCACAATGGATGAGCTCACCTGAAGCCACGTAGTAATTAAGTCACCTGATGTATCTATCTGTTGGTTAATAATTACCCCAGTCATTGGTATATAAAAGTAGAAGGGTCTCTCCCATATTTCCTTTGCTCTTCAGGTCACGATGGCATTCACTGGGAAATATCAGCTTGAGTCTCAGGAGAATTTTGAGCCTTTCATGAAGGCAATTGGTAAGTAACAAACTATTGACAGACCTATGCTCTTATCATAGACAGTATTAAACAGGCTCTTATGAAGGTGGAAACAGTATTTTGTTCTGTGGCACTATCTTCTCAATTGGTACTGACATTTCTTATAAGGATAGATAGGGCTAATGGCCTCTCAATCTGACAATTTTTCTGACCGTTTTCAAGAGAACATCCACAATCAATTGGCAAAACAGAATATTTAGTGGGTATATGTATTAGTGCTGTCATAGTTGGTCAGTTAACTTATGGTTTTAGTGCACTTTTTTTGTATTACATTGTCTAAAGCTGTTCACACTGAACATCCCAATACAATCTATACAGCTAAAAACAAAAATGCCATGTCAACTCAAGTTGCCATTAAAAGTGTGCTTTTGCTTACCTGATTTTGCTAACTTACTTTGGACAAAATCAAGATGTCATGTTTTTTTGTATTAATCTTATTACAGCTCAATTTGAGCAAATTCTGTGATTTATTTATAGCAAATTCTGCAATTAACTCTACCTTAATTGTTTGACATCCCTAGGCTTATGTACTTAAAGTGCCATACTTTATGGTACTGGATGTCCATGACCCACACATATGCCGACGTAAGATTACCTTATCTGACTGATAGCTAATCTTTGCACTTTAGCTCAATGGTTATTTGTAACCAATAGCCTAACCCATGCACCCAAAAATACTGCTAGGTCAGTTGGGTTTCTATCTCAACTAGGATGCTCAGTTATGGTTATTCTTAAATCTAAAGATGTCTTGACTACAAAGTCCCAATTTGAAACACATGAATGTGTAATCCAAAGGAAACCTGCACACATTCCGGCAGGCTATAGGCTGTAAAATTAAACCTTAATAAGTTTGAAATAAGTTTGTATACATAGTTCAATGTGTACTGCCCCACCACCATTTCAACATGTTCCTCCTCAACCCTTAGGTCTGCCAGATGATCTCATCCAGAAGGGCAAGGACGTCAAGAGCGTGTCGGAGATTGAGCAGAATGGAGACCATTTCAAAGTGACTGTGACCACAGGCACCAAGGTCATGGTCAACTCGTTCACGGTCGGCCAGGAGGCTGAGCTGGAGACGATAACTGGAGAGAAGATAAAGGTGAGTTTGTCAACCAGACACGCCCGCGATTACTTGGCCTCGTGGGCACACCTGAACATTGGTTATTGTATTTGAGTTGTAAATAACATGGGTGGGCAATTCTGGTCCTTGCGGGCCAAAGTATGCAGGTATTTTTTCCAGTTCAGCTTTTGCACCTGATAGTTTCCTTAGTGCTGGAGCAAATGTCTTGACGTTGCCCGCAATGAAGTTTCTCTCCCAACCTTGTGTAACTTGTTTAGGATGTTCCATGACCTAGTCTATGATTGGTGTTAAACATACTTATGACAAGCTGTAGTGCGGTAACTTGATGTAGTCTAGTTTGTTACTCTTGCCTGGTATGTCATGCATTGACTCAACTCTTCCCCAGTCTACGGTGAATCTGGTTGGGAACAAGCTAATCGTCTCACTGAAGGGCATTGAGTCGGTCACTGAATTCAATGGGGACACAGTCATTGGTGTAAGTATGTGGTCGGGGACCAGCATGGGTTTAAATTGTCAAAAACAGGTGTAATTTTACTCGTGTTCAAATGTAACTGTGCTGTAGAACCTAATCTGTGTGCACCCTTTCTTTCCAGACCATGACGCTCGGCCCCATCGTCTACAAGCGGATAAGCAAGCGTATCTAATGGTCTCAACCCTCTTTCAATAAATGAAGGGAATGTATTTTGACTTTGTGGTTTGTCTATAAAGTTTACCCTTAGCTTTGCTTGGTTGAGCTGCAGTGTACAGCACAAGACGACATTATCAGTGTTCACTTTTATTACATTTTACATTCAATATTGCACATGGGATGGTATACTGACTCAATGTTTACTAGCATGAAGGTGGGAGCAATCATGAGTTCACAGGGACTGAGCCAAACAGATCTAGACGAGGCCTCATCATACAGATGGCAGTCTCAATGCTAAACCAAAGGAACTTAACCACTTTCATTGCAACAGAATATCTAGCTGTTGAAAGCAGTTTACACATGACAAGGCACACGTCTTGCAATATGAGAACAGCCAAGGAACTTTGGGGTTGATTTGCTGACTAATTTCATACCATTGAAATGCAGGTGAGACAACAGAAGCTCATTGCTTATGGATGACGTTGTCCTCAACACTGACTGCCTCAGCCATGCCCATGGGCTTGTTCTGCAGGGCAGCCTCTCTCATGCGGTGGTAGCCATGCTCATTCTGCTTGAACATCCTCAGCTCCATCTCAGTCTGCATACGCATTGACTAGGAAACATAAGGTTGGGTCAAAAGTCTGGTAGTAAATGAGCTAAAACTACCTGACCATCTTCGTTCCACACATTTCTATTTAATATTGCGCCCTACTGAACAGGGCTACCTTATGCAATTCCAACGGTTAATTGACCTAAAGATATTCAGTAACCTACTCCTGTACCTCAAGGTCCTTGGTGATGGGGTGGTTGGGTCCGTGGGTGACCATGAGGATGGCGTAGGCCTTGCAGATCATGCCATGGCCAACCTCGATGAGCCCTGCGTGCCAGTGGGTCACGCCAGCCCGCATGGTGGCCATGCCCAACTGGGCGTTATTGGGGTGGTACAACTTCCTGCTCGGGGGGTTAAAGATAAAGATATGGGACTTCAATGATGTAGACATGCTAATCTTATGGCCCCTTATTGGTCTCATCCACCCTTTCCCATCACTCACATGTATCCCTCCACCAGTATGCCTGTATATTCTGCAGCCTCTGAGAAGAACTGCAGGTAGGACAGCGCCTCACTGGCTGCACTCAGCATACGCAGGTGGTACAGGTGTGTATTGGCCAACACAGGCTCCTGTTTGTGTAGACACTCACGACACAGCTGCACCACCTGTGGAGGGGGAATTTGGAGGGTTTAATGAGATGGTGAGTGAATTATGGGCCAGTGAAAGGCAGGTATTATCACGCTCCAATGCCGTTCGTAAAGGATGGGATTGTTACCTCATGGAAGTCTCCCGCAGTGCGAGCTGCCTCAACCTTGGCCAGGCACTCTAAACTGAACTCCTGTACCAACTTCACCAGCTCATCAGAGGGCTGAGAGAATAGAGTAAACAAGTGTCAGTGTAGGACTATTGGGGAACACTCACTCCTGATCATTGACAGAAAGAGCTCATGACCAAAATGTACTACTGCATAGATCCACAACTCAGTGTTTCATTGAAGGAAATGTTGCGTAACGTGTTGATGGTCCAGTAAGTAGTCAATTCCTGTACATAGATACTTATGTAACGTATATCCAGGTCCATGGCATTGACCTGTCTAAAGACATGGTCAAGCGCTGATAGAGTTAGTCATAGTATTTAGCGATGTCTCAGACAATCAATTGGAATTCAGCATCAGGTGACCAGATCACAGCTGAAACCAGAATAACTTGATTTCTTATCAACTGCTACATGTATTTTGTTCTATGGTCTCAGCTGATATTTAGGGTGGGGATCATGTGAGGCACGATTAAGTTGAGCTCTTTTAAGGGAGCGGGGAAGCATGGAACTTTACTCAACTGAATAGTAACTAGGATGAAGTGTTGTAGGCCCCTGGCCCCTCAGAGGTATGATCATTTTAAAACGTGCTTCTGATGCATCAGCTGAGAGGTGCCCAATGTGAGTCTGGGTATGGCAGGGTCCAGGGACCCAGAACCCCACTGTTTGGAATGGAATTCATTGACACCAACCCTGCCCTTAACCCGTCAGTACTTTCCCCACCTTGTTGCCGTCGGTCTCCTTGGCAGCCATCTTTAGGTCATCCTTGAGGTGCTCGCTGCAGCTTTTACAGGTGCAGTCAAAGTGGTACTGGTGCTTCAGGGCGCGCTGGCGGTCTGTCGACACGTTCAGGAAGTCCACGTAGCCAACCGTCAGCTCCTCGTTCTCAGCAATCTTACCCAGCGCACGCAGCTCGATCCTGGGGGAGCAGGGCGGCATGGTTAGCCCTGGGCCTTAGTGTAACAGCTGCTCTAGGATCAGCTTCTGAGCTCAAATGTCACATGCTGGGCCATAGAACAGGCCCTAGAGCAGTTGATAAGTGGGATGCTGTAGTGTGATGTCATGGGAGTAACCATAGGGGAGGGTAACGGGGTAGTGTAGAGGTCTCTGAACCTTTGTGGCACAGGTGGTAGTGTGCTTTCCTTGTTAGGGCTGTGCCAGTTCAAGCCCTCCTACAAATGTTCCCTCTCAATTGCTATGATATCAAAAGTGCAGGAAAGCTATTGCATTGACATAGTTTGCCAAGTACCTGACAGCATTTTGGGTCTTTTTGGAGATAGGAAACTGTGAAACCTTCATTTGCCAGTCAGCAAACCACTGATTGGATAATCCTGGCTGCTCAAAGTTCAGAGAAGATTATATTGATTGTTCAGAGTTCAATATCTTATTGGACTGTTGGCTCCTGATGAGCAATAAATTAAGCTTTAGAGAAACATTGACAGCCCAGCTGCAAGCTCAGAGACGGTGGGGGTTTCAATTTCACTCAACTTGAAGCAACGTTCTAACAAAGCAGTTGGGTATTTTTCACTGATAGATGACCAAAAACACATCCCAGGTCATCACCAACACAATTCAGGCAGTCTAAAAGTCTAAAAATGCATTCTTGTTATGATGGGATGTTGGAAGTAATATTAAAGGTAGATGACTGAAATTGAACACAATCTCTCACAATAGACACACTTCACACAACAAAGAAACTCAGTTCTACTGGGAGCTAAACAAACCATGCTATACATTTTAGTTAGACAGACCCAATTTGTTGAGTTTCATAATATTCTGTTTTTCCCTCCTAGGGGTTAGATTTGAGACGTATGATTATTACTGTTTTGATCTTGTGCAATGAGCAAAATAGTCCTGTAGGCTACTGCTAAAGAAGAAAATATATATATATATATATATATATATATAAGGAAAATCACATTATCAATGTTACGGTCAAGGTTAGAATGCCTGTGTAATTTGGTGCAGTTGTTCTGTTTACTTTTTGAAAAAAGAATTTTAGGGGGTAGATCAGCTTTAATATTGCAGATTGTTCTGTTTACTTCCTCACTATCATCCAGTGATAGAGGTTTATAACAGGTGTTAAAGAGATCTTTGAGGATCGGATGTTCAAGGTTCAAAGGTTAGACGTTAGCTCAAAGCAGACAGGCAGACCCACCTCCTCTTAGAGTGGTAGGCTGCGTTCAGAGCTGACTGACTGGAAGAGAAGATGGCAGTCAAAACTTTTACAAATCACATATAAAGCTCTCTCTCTCTTTCTCTCTCTCGGGATACATACTTGCCATGGTTGAGGATGACAGTACAGTTGGGCCAGCAGTCGTGGTTGACCAGACACAGGTTAGGGAACAGACCCACTCCCACCGCCTGCAGACCCCTCTGGTCACTCAGAGTAAAGCCATTACAGTTGATCTACAGATGGATGGAGAAAGAGAGAGTGAGAGAGACAGATGGAATGAGAATGCCAGAAACAAAGTGGAGAGAGAGGGAATCATAGAGAGGGAGTGACCAAGGTTAATGATGACAATACCTCACAGTACATAGAGTGTAAAATAACACATACTATAGTCAAAATAGATTAACCAGTGATCTTGTATGTACTGTGCCAAAGTTTGAGATAACTGGATGGTAAGATGACTAACTCAGTGATACGTACTATGCCAAAGATGTGTGAGATGTACTCCATGCCATGCCTGGTTTTGGGACAGTAGTCCAGGAAGTTTTGCACGTTGATCTTGAGCTCTTTGAGGTCGTCAGCGAGCATGTCGGCCACGTGGTCCTCCAGCTGGTCCACTGAAGTCAGCTGGCCGTCCGACACGATGCCTGTGTCCTTCTGTATGCGCCACAGCACACGGGCAGCAAGACTGGAGAGGAACAGGGAGAGTTAGCATTAGCATTATAGGGTTACATGAAAGGCAACTTGCCAAGGCATTGACAACAACCCACCCCAGTATTTCTTCCACTTCCCCTATCCCTCCATTCTACCCTTTCATTTTCCTCCTACACCTCCTCTCTTCTTTCACTCTCTCTCATTCTCCTCTCCCTCATCCTCCCTTCACTCTCTCCCTCCTTGCCTCCTTCTTACCGTACTTTCTCGTTGGGGGCCTTTTCGTACTTCTTGATGGCGGCACACTCCTGTTTGTGCTCATCCCAGCATGCAGTCTGGCAGGTGCGGTCGCAGTAGTGGGCGAACTTACACTGGGCACAGCGGTGCAGGTTGGCCTGGCGACGGAAGCAGCTATGGCACACCTGCTGAGACAGACTGGGGGAGAGTAAGGGATGTCAAGGGTTAGAGGTGATGATTTCTTATGGGGTTGCCCAGCAACCTGGCACTATTGGAGTCAAACCCTGTTGCAGTGTCATGCTCCCTCCTATTGGTACTTTAACTATCAGATTCATATGTGCTAGATCTTTTTTTAAATATATTTTTTAATATATATGTATATGGGTTAGAGAATAACAATGCAAGGCAATAACCAGTGGATGACATCATGGACTGATAATGGAGTGGATTTATTTAGCTAGCTATTTTCACTGTGGTGGGTCTCAAAGCCAATGATTGTGCCCATTTGAAACTGGGATTGATTAGATGGCCATGGTAGTGTGAGAAGCCAGCAGGTTAAAGAGACAAATACCAGGGATATGTTGGTGTGCTGGAGAGTGTAGGCTTTTAGGGATGAATGATGAACTCTTATATCAAACTGAGTGGGGAGCCGTTTCTGTACCTTATCAGTAAAGAGTAGGACCTGTTCTGTGTCAGCACTTAAATCTCTCAGTCCGTACTCCTTACCTCATCATATTATCCTCTCTCCTTTTATCTATTGGTATTTCCTGGCTATCCTCTTCTGTTTCCCCCTCACCCTTTTTCAGTGTCATCATACATATCCCAAAAATATTGGCTCGTATTACTTGTGTGATATATTTACGTAATGGGCTATTCTGAGATGACGTTACAGAAACATGATGCCATTCTCCTCACACCTTCCACACATCTCCCACTCTCTCTATCTCTCTCTCTCTCTCTCTAAAGCTCTGTTTGTACTTCATCTGAGAATGTTTCCACTGTCATTCCATGTACTTGTCGAGCTCCACAATTATATCTCTTCTGGTTTAATATACAGTATATACATTTGAAGTCGGAAGTTTACATGCACTTAGGTTGGAGTCATTAAAACTCATTTTTCAACCACTCCACACAATTCTTGTTAACAAACTATAGTTTTGGCAAGTCAGTTAGGACATCTACTTTGTGCATGATAAGTAATGTTTTCAACAATTGTTTACAGACAGATTATTTCACTTATAATTCACTGTATCACAATTCCAGTGGGTCAGAAGTTTACATACACTAAGTTGACTGTGCCTTTAAACAGCTTGGAAAATTCCAGAAAATGATGTCATGGCTTTAGAAGCTTCTGATAGGCTAATTGACATTATTTGAGTCAGTTGGAGGTGTACCTGTGGATGTATTTCAAGAACTACCTTCAAACACAGTGCCTCTTTGCTTGACATCATGGGAAAATCTAAAGAAATCAGCCAAGACCGCAGAAAAAAATGTGTAGACCTCCACAAGTCTGGTTCATCCTTGGGAGCAATTTCCAAACACCTGAAGGTACCGCGTTCATCTGTACACACAATAGTACGCAAGTATAAACACCATGGGACCACGCAGCCGTCATACCACTCAGGAAGGAGACGCGTTCTGTCTCCTAGAGATGAACGTACTTTGGTGCGAAAAGTGCAAATCAATCCCAGAACAACAGCAAAGGACCTTGTGAAGATGCTGGAGGAAACAGGTACAAAATTATCTATATCCACAGATTCTTCAAATAGCCACCCTTTGCCTTGATGACAGCCTTGTACACTCTTGGCATTCTCTCAACCAGCTTCATGAGGTAGTCACCTGGAATGCATTTCAATTAACAGGTGTGCCTTGTTAAAAGTTAATTTGTGGAATTTATTTCCTTCTTAATGCGTTTGAGCCAATCAGTTGTGTTGTGACAAGGTAGGGGGGTATACAGAAGATAGCCCTATTTGGTAAAAGACCAAGTCCATATTATGGCAAGAACAGCTCAAATAAGCAAAGAGAAACGACAGTCCATTACTTTAAGACATGAAGGTCAGTCAATACGGAACATTTTCAAGAACTTTGAAAGTTTCTTCAAGTGCAGTCGCAAAAACCATCAAGGGCTATGATGAAACTGGCTCTCATGAGGACCGCCACAGGAATGGAAGACCCAGAGTTACCTCTGCTGCAGACGATAAGTTCATTAGTTACCAGCCTCGGGAAGTTACAGCCCAAATAAATGCTTCGCAGAGTTCAAGTCACAGACACATCTCAACATCAACTGTTCAGAGGGAACTGTGTGAATCAGTCCTTCATGGTTGAATTGCTACAAAGAAACCACAACTAAAGGACACCAATAATAAGAAGAGACCTGCTTGTGCCAAGAAACATGAGCAATGGACATTTGACCGGTGGAGTACAACCGCTGTGTCTTTGTGAGACACGGTGTGGGTGAACGGATGCTCTCCGCATGTGTCGTTCCCACCGTAAAGCATGGAGGAGGAGGTGTTATGGTGTGGGGGTGCTTTGCTGGTGACACTGTCTGATTTATTTAGAATTCAAGGCACACTTAACCAGCATGGCTACCACAGCGTTCGGCAGCGATACGCCATCCCATCTGGTTTGGGTTTAGTGGGACTATCATTTGTTTTTCAACAGGACACCTTCAGGCTGTGTAAGGGCTATTTGACCAAGAAGGAGAGTGATGGAGTGCTGCATCAGATGACCTGGCATCCACAATCCCCCAACCTCAAACCAATCGAGATGGTTTGGGATGAGTCGGACGGCAGAGTGAAGGAAAAACAGCCAACAAGTGGTCAGCATATGTGGGAACTCCTTCAAGACTGTTGGAAAAGCATTCCAGGTGAAGCTGGTTGAGAGAATTCCAAGAGTGTACAAAGCTGTCATCAAGGCAAAGGGTGGCTATTTGAAGAATCTCAAATATAAAATATTTTGTTTTGTTTAACACTTTTTTGGTTACTACAAGATTCCATATGTGTTATTTCATATTTTGGATGTCTTCACTATTATTCTACAATGTAGAAAATAGTAAAAATAAAGAAAAACCCTTGAATGAGTAGGTGTGTCCAAACGTTTGACTGGTACTGTATATCTGTACTGCAATCTCTTTATGTGGGGTTCAGTGGCCTCAAAATGTCCCCTTAGAGGGGGCGCTTCAACAACATTCATAAACGCCCCTGTAGACAGGCACCTGATGTGTCCCAGCTTTCACTCCCTCTGATGTACCAACAAACAGGTACCCGAGATACACAATACACAAGGCCAGACTTTCTAAACGTTTTTTATCTAGCAGCATTCAAACCTGCTTTCTGGACATACATGTTGTACACAACTTCCTCAATCTCTGAACTTTGCCTTAAGGTGAAGGCCGGGGAGTACAGTATGTTTTTGTATATAAAAATAGAACATTTGTGGCACACATTCAATATTTCTGGATAAACATGTTCCACTGCTCTGGACATTACTGTGTAGGCTAGACCTCGAAAACAAATGTTCCTAGGTCTGCAAAAAGATTTAGCATAGGACTAAAAAGGTGTGTAAGTGACACAGCAATGCCAAAAACATAATACTAAACAGCTGTTACTTAAAATAAACTGCTACACCTTAAAGACAAGCTATGGGCTTGTGTGTGTAAACAGTTTATCCCATGGGTGTCTGGGAGTGTGTCTAAAATTAACTGGAACTAGTTTGTTAATGACTGCACTGATTGTTGGCATGCTGTAAAGCTTCAAAGAGGCTTCCTTCCATTGCATTCCTGCTGTCCTTCCAATGCTAGTTCTTATATGGCCCCACATTTGCCCTGTAGCATATGCAGGCATATCTGTGACCAGCATTCCAGCAGATATAGAGACCGTGACCTCTCACTGCACACACACGCTTACACCCATACACATATAGAAACAGAGTGCACAGAACTGAAAGTGTGGTCTTATTCATGGACCATCGAACTGTACAGTAGTAGAGTTTAACAAGATTGAAACACTGTGTGTGTGTTGCTTATCTACAACATGTCACCACCAAAGTGACATATACTTTCCCTCCTGCCCAACCACGTCTTACTAAACAGCAGACGTCCAGGGGCGTTGCTAGGATTTGAGAGAAAAAAGGAATTTGAACAGCTATATGCATCAACCTGGTACACTTTGAGATTAACATTGAGAGATTAGATCTACTAAGAATTATGTAACAAAAAAATCCACTCATGTCAATTCCATTCAAAAGCCAATACCATATAAATACAATACAAGACATTCAGTTAACTTGCACCTTCCCACCTGCCACAGCAGAGAGTCTGCTCTGGAACACGGACATCTACAGCGCATTGCCAAAAACCTCCATACCACTCAACACCTTCAAACATAGACTCTGACCTGTCCAATGAGCCAAACTGCTTTAAAAAATGTATATCATCATAATAATCCAATGACTCAGTTCACTTTCAAAGGAGAGATGTGGCAGACCTTTACAATGTCAAAGTACAGTGCATTCTACTGAATACATGCATTTCTGTACTATATTTACTGCAATATTAACACATTTGTTTTAAAATAGGGATATCATGGACCATCACATTATTTTATTTTCTATTTTAGGACCCTAGGTGTATCTGAAACAAATCTGTCAAAATTATTTTATGATGCCTTTGAATCTGTCCTTATAAATAACACAAAGAGATGTCAAATCAGGTAATGCCAAATTTAAATCTGAATTACAGTGAGGGAAAAAAGTATTTGATCCCCTGCTGATTTTGTATGTTTTCCCACTGACAAAGACATGATCAGTCTATAATTTTAATTGTAGGTTTATTTGAACAGTGAGAGACAGAATAACAACAACACAAAATCCAGAAAAACACATGTCAAAAATGTTATACATTGATTTGCATTTTAATGAGGGAAATAAGTATTTGACCCCTCTGCAAAACATGACTTGGTGACAAAACCCTTGTTGGCAATCACAGAGGTCAGACATTTCTTGTAGTTGGCCACCAGGTTTGCACATATCTCAGGAGCAGTGGCGGCTCCTGAAAAAATTCTCAGGGGGGGCAATTTGTCTGATGATTTAGGTGACCTACACACATTTTAAAAAAGATATGTCCAGCAACAACATGAAGACAGGGGCAGCATATAAGTCAATACCAGAAGCATTTATTGACTGATCTCAAAAGTGTTGGCTTACCAGGGTTGGTGGAGCCCTCAGTTTCATCTTTGCCTCGCAAAGCTAACTCAAACACTCCGCAAAACTTCACACACTGGATTAGCCGGCTGAGGATGTGGCGGTTCTTGCTAATGTCGTAGTAAATATATTTGTTATAGTGAATATGGAATATGATATGTTGAGTAAAATGTTGTGCTAAGATCTATTTAGGTCAGGAGCTGGTTATAAGTTCTGTTCCTATCCAATAACAATGGACAAAAGGGTCCTATCTTGTCAGCCTTGTCAGTTTCAGTTCTCCAGTAAACTTGTGATTATCAACACTAACCTCATCGTTGTGGCGGCGGACAGCTAGCCTGTATCCCTCATCCAGTTGAGTGGGAATGTTCACTCTCCCCAAAGCAGACAATCTCAAACAGCTATCCATGTGGGTCTTTGACAGCTCATGTTTCTTAATCTTTCCTGAAAGATGGTGCATGTCCGTTACACACCAGTCGCTGTCCAAGCGGTGCTGTCTGCCGTGCCGCCTTCAGGGTGAAAGAGTAAGCAGGGGGTAGCAGAAGACTGCATTAGCTACATCGCAGCCTGCTAGCCAGGTTTTTCGTTCGTACCAATTTTTGGAAAATCCTCGGGTGTAGGACTTCCCCCCTTTAGTAGAAACCTGTTGAATTATTAAATTTGGTCTGGGAGGTCCTAATTGTTTCGTTGCCAATTTATCTTCATTTGTTCGCCGACAAAAAGGAACTTCTTTCAAAGACACAATCGAGTTGCACTGAAGCCTAGCCATTTTGATAGTAGTAGTGAATTGATTGATGCTGCTACCCGCTCTTTTCTTAGTTACGTTCATGGTTATGTTACGTATGACGAAAGCGCGTAAGTGCAAGCCCTCAGAAACCCATAGAGATTGTATTGAAAGCTCTGATATTTGAAAAAAATAGATTTTACATGGGAGTCTATGACAGACTTCTGGGCGATTTTCAACCTGACTGAAATCGCCCCAAAAGGGGGGGGGCCATTTGAAGCACGACTTTAGCCTGATTGGACATTTAGTGGCACTGTGGCAGATCAGACGTCTAGATTACAACACTGATAACTACTGTTGCCGTGATATTATTGATTAGAAAGAAAATCCCTTCCTTTTCCCGTTTGGCAGTGCGTCGCCCATATCGCCCTATTGAACACACCGCCCCTGCTCAGGAGGGATTTTGTCCCACTCCTCTTTGCAGATCTTCTCCAAGTCATTAAGGTTTCGAGGCTGACGTTTGGCAACTCGAACCTTCAGCTCCCTTCACAGATTTTCTATGGGATTAAGGTCTGGAGACTGGCTAGGCCACTCCAGGACCTTAATGTGCTTCTTCTTGAGCCACTCCTTTGTTGCCTTGGCCGTGTGTTTTGGGTCATTGTCATGCTGGAATACCCATCCACGACCCATTTTCAATGCCTGAGGGAAGGAGGTTCTCACCCAAGATTTGACGGTACATGGCCCCTTCCATCGTCCCTTTGATGCGGTGAAGTTGTCCTGTCCCCTTAGCAGAAAAACACCCCCAAAGCATAATGTTTCCACCTCCATGTTTGACGGTGGGGATGGTGTTCTTTGGGTCATAGGCAGCATTCCTCCTCCTCCAAACACGGCGAGTTGAGTTGATGCCAAAGAGCTCGATTTTGGTCTCATCTGACCACAACACTTTCACCCAGTTCTCCTCTGAATCATTCAGATGTTCATTGGCAAACTTCAGACTTGCCTGTATATGTGCTTTCTTGAGCAGGGGGACCTTGCGGGCGCTGCAGGATTTAAGTCCTTCACGGCGTAGTGCGTTACCAATTGTTTTCTTGGTGACTATGGTCCCAGCTGCCTTGAGATCATTGACAAGATCCTCCCGTGTAGTTCTGGGCTGATTCCTCACCGTTCTCATGATCAGTGCAACTCCACGAGGTGAGATCTTGCATGGAGCCCCAGGCTGAGGGAGATTGACAGTTCTTTTGTGTTTCTTCCATTTGCGAATAATCGCACCAACTGTTGTCACCTTCTCACCAAGCTGCTTGGCAATGGTCTTGTAGCTCATTCCAGCCTTGTGTAGGTCTACAATCTTGTCCCTGACATCCTTGGAGTGCTCTTTGGTCTTGGCCATGGTGGAGAGTTTAGAATCTGATTGATTGCTTCTGTGGACAAGTGTATTTTATACAGGTAACAAGCTGAGATTAGGAGCACTCCCTTTAAAAGTGTGCTCCTAATCTCAGCTCGTTACCTGTATAAAAGACACCTGGGAGCCAGAAATCTTTCTGATTGAGATGGGGTCAAATACTTATTTCCCTCATTAAAATGCAAATCAATTTATAACATTTTTGACATGCGTTTTTCTAGATTTTGTTGTTGTTATTCTGTCTCTCGCTGTTCAAATAAACCTACCATTAAAATTATAGACTGATAATTTCTTTGTCAGTGGGCAAACGTACAAAATCAACAGGGGATCAAATACTTTTTTCCCTCACTGTAAGTATGCCTTCAAGTGATTGAAATGCATCAGACAAGTTTTGGAAATTTCAGGAAAGCAGAAGGAAGATCATCAGGCAATCTTTTTTTACAGCCTGCTATTCGACCAACAAAAGATTTGGGGCTGGACCAAAAACATTTGGGGCTTCAGTCCCAGAAGCCCACCCCTAACGACGCCAAAGCCACACAGAACCTTGACAGTGAGTGAATCCTGCCTGGTAAAAACATTGGATTATTTTTATGGGGATGTGTGAAATTTACTCCTCGGCCTGAAGTGTTCCGACTTGTACCAGCAAATAGCTAGCGTTTCGCATGGCGCTGACTGGTAAGACGCTTCAGGAGGGCAGTCACGTGTGCTAGCAAGGCAGAGGATCCGAGTTTGCGTCAGGTGTGGGCCGAATCGGGAGGAAGTGGTACTTGCTAAGCAAGCAGTGTGACGTCCTTTATACTAGCTCCATGCTGATGCACAAAGCTTGGGCACCTACTACACTATACCCAAAATTGAACCCAATGCTGAGGACCTCTCAAATCATACAAGTCAACACGATAAGCTGAACAATCCGCTCTAATGCTGATGTTTTTCTGTGTGAAAAGCCACAATTCTTGGAAGTACACTTTGGGAAGAATAATGCTGAATCATGAATAGCATGAATTTTGCAGTCTTGGTGGCAAAGGACACACAGTGTGACATCACTCTGCTGTATATGAGTGGCACATCACTGAAAGTGTGACAACATGACTGTATCTGCAAGACAAACCCATTTGCAAGCAACAAGATGTGGAGTTTTGGACAAACTGAACTACAATTTATTTCAAGAATCTTTTGTTTGATTGTAATATTAAACAGATATTAAATTGATTACATTAATACTTGAACAGCAGGTAACCTTTTTAACCCAGCACCTAAGGAATAACGCATATGCTCATGCCACTATGAGATAGCAATACTATACATGGCCACCATGATGCAAACCATGTATCAGGCCCTACCCGTCAAAGACATAGCATAATGGATGTATTTTTTTTATAAATAGAACCACAATCTCAAACTGTTAAGGATATGCATTGATACAGGAACCATGTAGGTATCCTTTGTGTATTCAATTTTGCTTTCTTACTGAGAAATAATGGATGTGTGCATGCCACAGAGATTTTGTCATTATGACCCAAATCTCCATGCATTGGGCCCTACCTGTCGAAGACCACTGCAGCGAAGCTGGGCTCAGCGAACACTACCTCCCCAGCCCAGAGGTCTTTGGTGGTCCTGAGACCCCTGCCCTTCTCCCCAGCATCAAAAACTTCTACGTTGTCCATATCCAGGGTCATTACCAAGTTAACAGAAGACTGGAACACCTCACAGATAGAGGTAAACAGAGAGGGAGAAGGAGTAGTGCTGGCTGGAGTGCTCTTCAAAAACGTTCAGCACCTGCCCTTCTCCTCAGCCCGACCCCGCCCTCCAAAAATAGACTGGCCTTCCTGGGACTGTGGGACTGTACCATCTCAGGGCGGGGAGAGGAGAGGGGGGGTGGGGGGGTGTATGTGGGAGTCTAGGGGTTTGGGAGTGGAAGTGCTGGGAAGGCTTACTCCATAGGGGGAATAGTTGTACAGGTCTGCCTGGATGTCCTCCCCTTCTTTGGGGTTGGTTCAGGCCAGGCCCCAGGGGTATTTTGGTCTGGCAGCTGTGTCTGTCTGTCTCTGTCTGGGGAGGTAGGAGGCAACTGACTGGGAAGAGGCCTGATCAAACACTTCTCTCTGTTGCTTTTGTTCTCACTCTAGCTACAGTATCTGTCATTACCACAGTCTGCACAAGTCACCATGCAGTTCTTTTTCTCTTCTCTGCTTTCTGTCTCTGGCTCATTTACATTGGCTGTTCACACCTTCCTCTCATCCAGTGTCCCTTCTTCCCTTTTGTCAAAAGATATACATCTCAAGGACAGCAAAACTGTCATATATGAAGAATGGTCAAGTGCAATTAAATACATTGTGTTGTTATTTGTAGTTGTATAGGATAGCCCTATTTAATAACAAACAATAAAACCTAATTGAAAGTCATGATTTGACAATGACATAGAAATCAATTTTGAATATCGGAAACATTTTGAATATAGGCTGCATGGGTCATATTTTCCCTTTGACTTCACAGGGTGATTAATACTCGGAAAGAACACCACCTAAATGAAGCGAGGATGCTTCTGGGATTACACAGCCTTGTGAAGACAGACTGTTTACAGTAGGAGTGTGGGAGAGAGGCAAGGGGTGAGGGGGAATAGAAGTAAGAAAAGCAGGGGAGGAGAGGAGGAAGTGAGGAGGAAAGGATTTGTGTGTGTGTGTCACATGTAGCTCCTGGCAGATGTTCTTTGGAAGGTGAAGATGGGAGAGACTGCAGAGACAGTGGCTCAGAGCATTTACCCTATTTGTCCTGTTGTACTCAAAGGTCTGACTGGTCTGGTGCTGCAGAAACGAAACACTGATCAGCTGAGTAGGAAACTATGCAACACCATCTGTGAATAGAAGCATTTGAATTCATAACAGCAGAGTAACTGTGAATACTGTAATGTAAGCAGTCAAACAAGTATAATATTAGTTTCCACATAAAAATAAACTGCAGGAATGATACTCTTATTTCATATGATTTTCAACTATACAGTTACAGTATAGTGCATTGATAGAGCAACCAAAAGTATTTGATTTGTATAATTATTTGAGATAAATCGAGTACACAAGTCACATACACTCGGAAGAAATTAGTAAAATATCATCAAAGCGAGTACATAGAGTTCTGCATATAAACATACAGAATAGATTTGCAAATATAACACTGTACGGGTATTGTTAGAGAGGGGTAAAGATACAGATTTTTGTTTGGGCTCCAGGCAGGTATTTACCCTGCCGAAATGAAAAGAGTAGGAGAGAGAGAGTACCGCTACCAGACACCCACACCATCAGAAAAAACTGCCTAGAGTGTAGCCTGATTGGCAGTGGAGAGAAAGGATAAGACACACCGCATAACCACAAGTCACAGCACAGGGGTAACCCAACCAATAATACCTCATGCAATAGTAATGATTAGAACAACTCTATGAAATTGCGTCTGAAGCACCAGACTAAGAACCAAGTTTTGCAAATACACTACATGGCCAAAAGTATGTGGAGACCTGCTCGTTGAACATCTCATTTCAAAATCACGGGCATTAATATGGAGTTGGTCCCCCCTTTGCTGATATAACAGCCTCCACTCTTCTAGGAAGGCTTTCCACTAGATGTTGGAACATTGCTGCGGGGACTTGCTTCCATTCAGCCACAAGAGCATTAGTGAGGTCGGGCACTGATGTTGGGCGATTAGGCCTGGCTCACAGTCGGCGTTCCTATTCATCCCAAAGGTGTTCGATGGGGTTGAGATCAGGGCTCTGTGCAGGCCAGTCAAGTTCTTCCACACTGACCTCGCTTTGTGCACGGGGGCATTGTCATGCTGAAACAGGAAAGGTCCTTCCCCAAACTGTTGCCACAAAGTTGGAAGCACAGAATCATCTAGAATGTCATTGTGTGCTGTAGAATTTTGATTTCCCTTCACTGGAACTAAGGGGCCCGAAACATGACAAACAGCCCCAGACCATTATTCCTCCTCCACCAAACTTTACAGTTGGCACTATGCATTCGGGTAAGTAATAATAATAATAATTTGCCATTTAGCAGACGCTTTTATCCAAAGCGACTTACAGTCATACTTGCAGTCATTTTTTTTGTGTATGGGTGGTCCCGGGGATCGAACCCACTACCCTGGCATTACAAGCGCCGTGCTCTACCAGCTGAGCTACAGCGTTCTCCTGGCCTCCACCAATCCCAGATTCGTCCATCGGACTGCCAGATGACGAAGCATGATTAATCACTCCAGAGAACGAATTTCCTCTGCGCCAGAGTCCTAATGGTGGCGAGCGTTACACCACTCCAGCCGATGCTTGGCATTGCACATGGTGACCTTAGGCTTGCTCAGCCATGGAAACCCATTTTTTTAAGCTCCAGACGAACAGTTCTTGTGGTGACGTTGCTTCCAGAGACAGTTTGGAATTCGGTAGTGAGCGTTGCAACCGGGGACAGACGATTTTTACGTGCTACGCACTTCAGCGGTCACGTTCTGTGAGCTTGTGTGGGCTACCACTTCGCAGCTGAGCCATTGTTGCTCTTAGAGGTTTCCACTTCACAATAACAGCACTTACAGTTGACCGGGGCAGCTCTAGCAGGGCAGAAATGTTATGAACTGACTTGTTGGAAAGGTGGCATCCTATGACGGTGCCACGTTGAAAGTCACTGAGCTCTTCAGTACGGGCCATTCTGCTGCCAATGTTTGTCTATGGAGATTGCATAGCAGTGTGCTCGATTTTATACACCTGTCAGCAACAGGTGTGGCTGAAATAGCCGAATGCACTCATTTGAAGGGGTGTCCACATACTTTTGGCCATGTAGTGTATCTGTATTCCTTACACATAGTGAAAAGGGAGTTGGTTACATTAATGGGTGTGTGTATGTGTGGTTCAATACAAAAAAGGCCTTTAAATGTCCCCAAAGTATGTTAGGACAATACACAAATCAATACACACAGTTCCAAGAGAATACATTTTTTTAATAAGCAATATACAGTACTCAAACACACACTCCCTTTAACGAAAATGTAAATAACAGTGCATTTACAGTTCCCAACCGCACTGAACACAAAATGTCAGCTCCAGTGTAGAGAGAGAGAGAGAGAGAGAGAGAGAGATTGTCTTAGCTGTTAACGTCCGGCTTGCAGTTGCACTTGTCTGTCCGATACACCCGTTGGTTTGTCTGTCGCGCCAACCGAGAGCTCTCACACACAGACAGACGAGACATTTACTTCTTCCTTCCTGATAGCTGGTGCGCTCTTAAAGTGGCAGCGCACGGTGAACGCTCCTTGCAGGATTTCACCACAACACTGATAAATATATGGAATACCTCCATGAAATGCCACAAGTAGAGTGCTACAACTCTTAAAAAGCAAAGGGTTTAATGAAAGTGCTGACAGGAAGATAAACAGCATAGGATAAAATAATTGCTTTAACAGCAGTACATTTTGTCTCACATTGGAATGATTTTGAATGGTACATCTACATAGTACAACAGATCTACATATAAGCAGAGGTAATGCATAAAAGCACCATTCAAGTATAGACTCATGATCATATAAGGAACAAGAAATAATAAACGTTAAATCACCAATAAGTTGCGGTCTTTACTTGATTGGTTTTGTGTTAGGCTTAGTGTCATTTTGTACAAACGCGAGCATATCAGCACCACTGTAACAACTCGGAAATGGCAGATCTAAAGACACACAGTTTAGAGTTCAGCAAACTTAGTTTGAGATAAAGAACTTTAATAGATGCTATTTTGGTACCAAAAGTTCCAAGGCAATTCTAGTTAGAAGGCAAATTAGAACAGTACTGTCATGGGATGGAATGTTAGGCGCCAACATGGACTCAGGATAGTTTGCCGAACTCAGTAACTACAGTAGGCCTATGGCTTTGGATGACGGAAACAGCTTTATCCTTCCTTCTCTCCATGTTTCCTTCTGATTCGGTAAAAGGTCCACTCAATCTTTACCCCCACGAAAACAGGTTTAGAATCAGATCTTATTAACCCAAAACCATCTTCGAAGCTAACTAATCTGACCCAGTATCAGTTGTTCTGGCTATACAATTGTACCTACACCATGAATATTCATCTTCAGTCTGAGCCCCACAGTGTCTTCTAGTTCCCCTCTCTACAGGTCATAGAAGTCAAGGTGTGCTCCGGAGGGGTAGTCATCCTCCAGCAGCACCTTCATCAGCTTAGCACAGGAGTCTTCACAGGTGAGCAGCTGACCCTGGGAGAGCATGGCTGAGAAGGACTTCCTCACGCCAGGGTCTGCCGTGCTGTCCCTGGCCTCCAACTGCATGTCTGTGTCCAGGGGACCTAGAGAAACACAGAGGGATCTAGGTTGGTCACGAGTCACTGGATGGTCATGATAGAAAGGACAAAAATGGCAATATCGTTAGAATGTGCAGAGTACATGATGATCCATTTCAAGGGTCAATTTCAGCTGAACTGAAATGACAACATCTGAAATGGAATTGACCCCAGGCCTGACTGTAACATAGCTAGGTTCATAGGTCAAATATCTCCATAATAAGTCCATTCAGTGCTCCATTTCAAAATCAGTAGTCTAACGACCTGGGGCTTAATTTAATCTCCAATGCCAGGTTGAATTAGTCTGGCTAACACCAAACTCTCAAAGTGCTTTTACTGGTTGAACACCCACAAGCACACAGCCTCCTTCCATTACAAAGGTAGGATTTTCTAATCCAAACAACTAGAGGGGAAAAAATACATTTCAGGGAACCAATCAAACATGTTGCACAATTTCTGAGCACATACTACATTAACAAATGGCCTCCTTTCCAGACCAGTGTGGTCACAGCTCACCCTGCGCTGTGAGTCACATGGGTCTTGTCAGCCAGGCTAAGGTTGAATGGCTGTTGACAGACACATGAATGATGACCAAGTTCATTTCAAATGCTTTTTTTGTTGCTTTTTTTATAACTGGAATGAAGGTCAGTTCAGGAGTGTGTGCCTGGGGGTTACTGTTTTATTTATCAGGGGTTTAAAGCCTAAAGCTACCTGGGGCATAGTTGAGTACTCGGAGGTCAGGCTCCTCCTCTGCCAGCACGCGGAACATCATGTCTCGGGCCGCCTTGCCCGTGCAGTACAGCACCCAGGAGGGAAATGGCTGCAGGGCGCACAGCGAGCTCACGTTGACTACGCAGCGCCGCAGCCCCTGTCGCGGTGGGAACACCTGCAGCAGGCCGGCCGTCAGACTGAGGGCGGAGCTGACATTGAGTGACAGGTAGGAATCCACCTCCGCCATGTTGGTGAAGCTCTTGGCGTAGCGCGAAACGTCTCCCAGAGAGGCTGGAGGAATGGGGAGATGTCAGATAATACAATGTTTGAATTGTATTATTTTCATAGAATACGCTTTCAAAAACACATTTTGAAATGGCTCCTAAACTCTGCTCTCAAATTCACAATACCTCCTATCTGAACATTTACATAATTGTCAGTGTATGGACTAGGCTATATATTCCGACTATATTGTAACTTTTGGTAGATTTGATGAGCACAATCAAATACAATACTAGATTTGATTAAATAAATATGAGTATCTAAAGATGTTAAAATCATGAGACCTAATTTGAAAATCTGTAACTGAACACTTTTTCTGTTTGCTAATAGTCATAGCTAGTAGACCCATTTACAGGTGGATGAATAATTTACCAGCATTGTTAATCAGTATGAGATGGTCCATATCCTTGGAGGAAATCTCTTTCGCCGCCCTGATGACACTTTCCACCCCTTCTTTTATCCCCAGGTCTGCGACAACACAACGAGTTACCAACCCTGCCCTGTCCGCATCCGACGAGGCCAAATCTTCCTGGAGTTCCCGCAATTTCTCCCCGGAGCGAGCCGCCAAAACAAGCACCGACCTCGGTTTGAACAACAGGGAAATCTCCTTCGCTACGGTTCTGCCAAATCCTCTGGACGCCCCGGTGATAATGCACAGCACTCTTCCTAGATCCTTCGCGTCTGGTGAATTCATGTTGGAGATATACCATTGGCCTGCGTTTAGGTTAAATGAGTGCGGCAGCGGAGATCTGCTGTATTTATAAAGGCTGCCAGATTTATGTAAAGAACCGTTTAAATTACTTTTTCAAATCGATTAGACTGAGGAACTGCGATGGAGGACAAAAATAAACATGAAAAATGAGAACGCCTCTTATCCCGCCCCCTTTATGGTGTTCAAGCAAATTCGCGATTTGGTTTACAAAATTAATAGACAAATGTTTTTTTATATGCCTAGATGTTTAGACCTAAATGTGTTCTTATCAATTATGTATCTTATTGTAGCGATATCCGCGCTTATAAACTACGGTTGCTACATTATTTAAGCACATGAAAAGTGAAAATTTAAGATGACACATTATTTACTAAGTCCAATAACTTGACTCAGCGAAACGTATGCTCTTGTTTTAATTGTCTGGTATGATTGAATAGTTTGCAAAATTGTGGGAATAATTACATTTACATTTACGTCATTTAGCTGAGCGATATCCAGATATGGTTTTGAATGGCTTTACATTGTGAAGAAATATTTAGGCTATGTAACACGTGGGCCTAAATGTCAAATGCTTTTCATTAAAGACATTTATCACACAGAGGAGAACTGACATGTCATAGGTAGCGTTTAGACAGCCCAATCCTGAACCCAATCCTGAACTGATCCATCCTCAAATGAGATCTATTCTTTATTAATGAATTAATCTTGGGTAATTTGGTCATTTAGGTTTATGTAGTCTGTCCACAAGAGATTATCCATTAAGTAAATAATTAGATTTTCCAGTCTGTGTCTCCTATTTTAAGAATGCATACATTGCCTGTCTAAACTGGTGTGTATATGTATTTGTAACAATTGTGTGTACACCTGAATGTCACACCATACACATTTTTTTTTACAACCAGATGGAAAACAGATATGGAATTCAACATGCCACATGATTTGTTTCATACATACTTACATAAGAATGTGCATGTGTAGCAAATCTCACCACATGACTTGTTCAATTCACTGTATTGTGCCTCACCCAAGAGCAGCTTTTATTACAACCTCTTTGAATCATGTTCATATCTATTCATTACAAATCATTCATAATTACCAACTTATAAGTTATCTTGCCACACACACTCGTCTTTTTATCTGATATAATTATCATCCGTGGCCAAGCAATGCATGAAATGTGTTGGTCTACAGAGTAAGGGGATAGCACTTGGTCACAGCATGCATTGCGGGTGTAGCGAAATGCTTGTGTTTCTAGCTCTGACAGTGCAGTAATATCTAACAATTTCACAACACATACCCAATACACACAAATCTAAGCAATGGAATTAAGAATATATAAATAAATATATGGACAAGCAATGTCAGAGCGGCATAGACTAAGATACAGTAGAATAGTATAGAATACAGTATATACATATGAGATGAGTAATGCAAGATGTAAACATTATTAAAGTGACTAGTGTTCCATTTATTAAGGTGGCCAGTGATTTCTATTCTATGTACAGGTCCTTGCAAAAGTATTCATCCCCCTTGGCGTTTTTCCTATTTTGTTGCATTACAACCTGTAATTTAAATGGATTTTTATTTGAATTTCATGTAATGGACTGTCACGCTCGTTGATAGACAGCTCGGACCAAGGTGCAGCGTGGTATGTGAACGTTATACTTTATTAACTGAATACAGATCAAAACAACAAAATACAAACGAACGTAAAGTTCTGCAGGCTACACAACTGCTAACCAGGAAAAAGATCCCACAACTAAGATCCCCCCCCCCCCCCCCCCCCCCCCTCAGAGAGGCAACAAGAGACCAAAGATAACCCTGAAAGAGCTGCAAAGCTCCACAGCGGAGATTGGAGTATCTGTCCATAGAACCACTTTAAGCCGTACACTCCACAGAGCTGGGCTTTACGAAAGAGTGGCCAGAAAAAAGCCATTGCTTAAAGAAAAAAATAAGCAAACACGTTTGGTGTTCCCAAAAGGCATGTGGGAGACTCCCCAAACATATGGAAGAAGGTACTCTGGTCAGATGAGACTAAAATTGAGCTTTTTGGCCATCAAGGAAAATTCTATGTCTGGCGCAAACCCAACACCTCTCATCACCCCGAGAACACCATCCAGGGACTGGGAAACTGGTCAGAATTGAAGGAATGATGGATGGCGCTAAATACAGGGAAATTCTTGAGGGAAACCTGTTTCAGTCTTCCAGAGATTTGAGACTGGGACGGAGGTTCACCTTCCAGCAGTATAATGACCCTACGCATACTGCTAAAACTACACTTGAGTGGTTTAAGGGGAACATTTAAATGTCTTGGAATGGACTAGTCAAAGCCCAGACCTCAATCCAATTGAGAATCTGTGGTATGACTTAAAGATTGCTGTACACCAGCGGAACCCATCCAACTTGACGGAGCTGGAGCAGTTTTGCCTTGAAGAATGGCCAAAAATCCCAGTGGCTAGATGTGCCAAGCTTATTTTGCCTCTTCAAAGTGATAGGCATGTTTTGTAAATCAAATAATACAAACTCCCAAAAAATCCATTTTAATTCCAGGTTGTAAGGCAACAAAATAGGAAAAATGCCAAGGAGGGTGAATACTTTCTCAAGCCACTGTAGTACTGCTGGAAGACCTGGCGTCACACTTTGGAATGCGCACACAGGTGAGTGGTGGGTGATGGCTGGAAAGTGGTCTCAATGGTCTGTTCTCATTTTGAAATATGTGTGTCAGATTGTGATGAATCTCCACACTACATTCAAGGTTATATTAGTGTTTTTTTGTGGTGGTCGAGAGAAAGGAGAGACTAACCCGGACGCTTATAAGAAATCCCGCTATGACCTCCGACGAACCATCAAACAGGCAAAGAGTCAATACAGGTCTAAGATTGAATCATACTACACTGGCTCTGACGCTCGTCGGATGTGGCAGGGCTTGAAAACTATTACAGACTACAAAGGGAAGCACAGCCGCGAGCTGCCCAGTGACACAAGCCTACCAGACGAGCTAAACCACTTCTATGCTCGCTTCGAGGCAAGCAACACTGAAGCATGCATGAGAGCACCAGCTGTTCCGGACGACTATGTGATCACGCTCTCCGTAGCCGATGTGAGTAAGACTTTTAAGCAGGTCAACATTCACAAGGCCGCAGGGCCAGACGGATTACCAGGACGTGTACTCCGAGCATGTGCTGACCAACTGGCAAGTGTCTTCACTGACATTTTCAACATGTCCCTGACTGAGTCTGTAATACCAACATGTTTCAAGCAGACCACCATAGTCCCCGTGCCCAAGAACTCTAAGATAACCTGCCTAAATGACTACCGACCCGTGGCACTGACGTCTGTAGCCATGAAGTGCTTTGAAAGACTGGTCATGGCTCACATCAACAGCATAATCCCAGAAACCCTAGACCCACTCCAATTTGCATACCGCCCCAACAGATCGACAGATGATGCAATCTCTATCGCACTCCACACTGCCCTTTCCCACCTGGACAAGAGGAACACCTACGTGAGAATGCTATTCATTGACTACAGCTCAGCATTCAACACCATAGTGCCCTCAAAGCTCATCACTAAGCTAAGGATCCTGGGACTAAACACCTCCCTCTGCAACTGGATCCTGGACTTCCTGACGGGCCGCCCCCAGGTGGTAAGGGTAGGTAACAACACATCTGCCACACTGATCCTCAACACGGGGGCCCCTCAGGGGTGCGTGCTCAGTCCCCTCCTGTACTCTCTGTTCACCCATGACTGCATGGCCAGGCACGACTCCAACACCATCATTAAGTTTGCCGACGACACAACAGTGGTAGGCCTGATCACCGACAACGATGAGACAGCCTATAGGGAGGAGGTCAGAGATCTGGCCGTGTGGTGCCAGGACAACAACCTCTCCCTCAACGTGACCAAGACAAAGGAGATGATTGTGGACTACAGGAAAAAAAAGAGGACTGAGCACGCCCCCATTCTCATCGACGGGGCTGTAGTGGAACAGGTTGAGAGCTTCAAGTTCCTTGGTGTCCACATCACCAACGAACTATCATGGTCCAAACACACCAAGACAGTCGTGAAGAGGGCACGACAAAGCCTATTCCCCCTCAGGAGACTAAAAAGATTTGGCATGGGTCCTCAGATCCTCAAAAAATTCTACAGCTGCACCATCGAGAGCATCCTGACTGGTTGCATCACCGCCTGGTATGGCAACTGCTTGGCCTCTGACCGCAAGGCACTACAGAGGGTAGTGCGTACGGCCCAGTACATCACTGGGGCAAAGCTCCCTGCCATCCAGGACCTCTATACCAGGCGGTGTCAGAGGAAGGCCCTCAAAATTGTCAAAGACTCCAGTCACCCTAGTCATAGACTGTTCTCTCTGCTACCGCACGGCAAGCGGTACCGGAGTGCCAAGTCTAGGTCCAAAAGACTTCTCAACAGCTTCTACCCCCAAGCCATAAGACTCCTGAACAGCTAATCATGGCTACCCGGACTATTTGCACTGCCCCCCCACCCCATCCCTTTTACGCTGCTGCTACTCTGTTAAGTATTTATGCATAGTCACTTTAACTCTACCCACATGTACATATTACCTCAACTAGCCGGTGCCCCCGCACATTGACTATGCAACGGTACCCCCCTGTATATATAGCCTCCCTACTGTCACTTTATTCTATTGTATATATAGCCTCCCTACTGTCACTTTATTTTTTACTTCTGCTCTTTTTTTCTCAACACTTTTTTGTTGTTGTTTTATTCTTACTTTTTTGTTTAAAATAAATGCACTGTTGGTTAAGGGCTGTAAGTAAGCATTTCACTGTAATGTCTGCACCTGATTTGATCATCATACCTCAAACCTTTTCTCACAGGATGCAATTGTGAGACTGCAGGACCTCTTAGCTGATGGTGAACTCACAGGTAAGTGAATGATACAGTGTGTGCTAAAATGAACATAGAATTCCTCTGAGTAAATTAGTAGGCACTCTTGCTTCCCTGTCATCTGACCGTCTTTGTTCTCTTTATTTTCTCCAGGAGTGATCAACGACAGAGGGAAGTTTATCTCCATCACGCCAGAGGAACTGAAAGCCGTGGCTCAGTTTATCAAACAGTGAGGGAGGGTCTCTATCAGTGAGCTGGCCCATTATCTTGGTTGTTGTCATTATACTCAGTATCTTAAACACGGCCATAGTCACACACCAC